GGCGCCTATCTCTATGCGCCTATCTCTATGGGCGCCTATCTCTATGGGCGCCTATCCCTATGGGTGCCTATCTCTTTGGGCGCCTATCTCTATGGGCGCCTATCTCTATGGGCGCCTATCCCTATGGGTGCCTATCTTTGGGCGCCTATCTCTTAAGGCGCCTATCTCCTAGGGGCGCCTATCTCTATGGGCGCCTATCTATATGGCGCTATCTCTATGTGCGCCTATCTCTATGGGTGCCTATCCCTCTGGGCGCTATCTCTATGGGCGCTATCTCTAGGGGCGCCTATCTCTAGGGGCGCCTATCTCTATGGGCGCCTATCTCTATGGGCGCCTATCTCTAGGGGCGCCTATCTCTATGGGCGCCTATCTTAGCGGCGCCTATCTCTAGGGGCGCCTATACTCCAGTGGCGCCTATCTATATAGGCACCTAATCTAGGGGCGCCTATCTCTATGGGCGGCCTATCTCTATGGGCGCCTATCTCTGGGCGCCTATCTCTATGGGTGCCTATCTCTTTGGGCGCCTATCTCTATGGGCGCCTATCTCTAGGGGTGCCTATCTCTAGGGGCGCCTATCTCTATGGGGGCCTATCTCTATGGGCGATACTCTAGGGGCGCCTTTCTCTATGGGCGCCTATCTCTAGGGGCGCCTATCTCTATGGGCGCCTATCTTTAGCGGCGCCTATCTCTAGGGGCGCCTATACTCTATGGGTGCCTATCTCTTTGGGCGCCTATCTCTATGGGCGCCTATCTCTAGGGTGCCTATCTCTAGGGGCGCCTATCTCTATGGGCGCCTTTCCATGGGCGCCTATCTCTAGGGGCGCCTATCTCTATGGGCGCCCTATCTTTAGCGGCGCCTATCTCTAGGGGCGCCTATATCTAGTGGCGCCTATCTCTAGGGGCACCTATCTCTAGGGGCGCCTATCTCTATGGGCGCCTATCTCTATGGGCGCCTATCTCTATGGGCGCCTATATCTATGGGTGCCTATCTCTTTGGGCGCCTACTCTATGGGCGCCTATCTCTAGGGGCGCCTATCCCTATGGGCGCTATCTCTATGGGCGCCTATCTCTATGGGCGCCTATTTCTAGGGGCGCCTATCTCTATGGGCGCCTAGCTTAGCGGCGCCTATCTCTATAGGCGCCTATCTCTAGGGGCGCTTATCTCTATGTGCGCCTATCTCTATGGGCGCCTCTCTTTAGGGGCGCCAATCTCTAGAGGGCCTATCTCTTTGGGCGCCAATCTCTATGGGCGCCTATCTCTATGTGCGCCTATCTCTAGGGGCGCCTATCTCTATGGGCGCCTATCTCTATGGGCGCCTATCTCTAGGGGCGCCATCTCTATGGGCGTCTATCTCTAGGGGCGCCTATCTCTAGGGGCACATATCTCTATAGGCGCCTATCTCTATGGGCGCCTATCTCTAGGGGCGCCTATCTCTATGGCGCCTATCTCTAGGGGGCCTATCTCTATGGGCGCCTATCTTTAGCGGCGCGCTATCTCTAGGGGCGCCTATCCTCTATGGGTGCCTAATCTCTTGGGAGCCTATCTCTATGGGGCGCCTATCTCTAGGGGTGCCTATCTCTAGGGGCGCCTATCTCTATGGGCGCCTTTCTCTATGGGCGCCTATCTCTAGGGGCGCCTATCTCTATGGGCGCCTATCTTTTAGCGGCGCCTATCTCTAGGGGCGCCTATATCTAGTGGCGCCTATCTCTATGGGCACCTATCTCTAGGGGCGCCTATCTCTATGGGCGCCTATCTCTATGGGCGGCGCCTATCTCTATGGGCGCCTATATCTATGGGTGCCTATCTCTTTGGGCGCCTATCTCTAGGGCGCCTATCTCTAGGGGCGCCTATCCCTATGGGCGCCTATCTCTATGGAGCGCCTATCTCTATGGCGCCTATCTCTAGGGCGCCTATCTATGGGCGCCTATCTTTAGCGGCGCCTATCTCTATAGGCGCCTATCTCTAGGGCGCTTATCTCTATGTGCGCCTATCTCTATGGGCGCCTCTCTTTAGGGGCGCCAATCTCTAGAGGCGCCTATCTTTGGGCGCCAATCTCTATGGCGCCTATCTCTATGTGCGCCTATCTCTAGGGGCGCCTATCTCTATGGGCGCCTATCTCTATGGGCGCCTATCTCTAGGGGCTGCCTATCTCTATGGGCGTCTATCTCTAGGGGCGCCTATCTCTAGGGGCACATATCTCTATAGGCGCCTATTCTCTATGGGCGCCTCTCTTTAGGGGCGCCAATCTCTAGAGGCGCCTATCTCTATGGGCGCCATCTCTAGGGGCGCCTACCTCTAGGGGCACCTATCTCTAGTGGCGCCTATCTCCAGGGGCGCCTATCTCTAGGGGCGCTATCTTAGGGGTGCCTTATCTCTATGGGCGGCTATCTCTAGGGGCGCCTATCTCTATGGGCGCCTATCTCTAGGGGCGCCTATCTCTATGGGCGCCTATCTCTATGGGCGCCTATCTCTATGGGCGCCTACTCTCTACGGGCGCCTATCTCTATGGGCGCCTATCTCGGCGCCTATCTCTAGTGGCGCCTATCTCTATGGGCGCCTATCTCTAGGGGCGCCTATCTCTATGGGCGTCTATCTCTAGGGGCGCCTATCTATAGGGGCATATCTCTCTATAGGCGCCTATCCTATGGGCGCCTCTCTTTAGGGGTGCCAATTCTAGAGGCGCCTATCTCTATGGGCGCCCTCTCTAGGGGCGGCCTACCTCCAGGGGCACCTATCTCTCGATGGCGCCTATTTCCAGGGACGCCTATCTCTAGGGGCGCCTATCTCTATGGGCGCCTATCTCTAGGGGCGCCTATCTCTATGGGCGCCTATCTCTTTGGGCGCCTATCTCTTTGGCGCTATCTCTAGGGGCGCCTATCCTAGGGGCGCCTATCTCTATGGGCGCCTATCTCTATGGGCGCATATCTCTATGGGCGCCTATCTCTACGGGCGCCTATCTCTATGGGCGCCTATCTCTAGGGGCGCCTATCTATTGTGGCGCCTATCTCTTATAGGGCGCTATCTCTAGGGGCGCGGGGCGCCTATCTCTATGGGCGCCTATCTCTATGGGGCCTATCTCTATGGGCGCCTACTCTATGGGTGCCTATCTCTTTGGGCGCCTATCTCTATGGGCGCCTATCTCTAGGGGCGCCTATCTCTAGGGGCGCCTATCTCTATGGGCGCCTATCTCTATGGGCGCCTATCTCTAGGGGCGCCTATCTCTATGGGCGCCTATCTTTAGCGGCGCCTATCTCTATGGGCGCCTATCTCTAGTGGCGCCTATCTCTATGGGCAACTATCTCTAGGGGCGCCTATCTCTATGGGCGCTTATCTCTATGGGCGCCTATCTCTATGGGCGCCTATCTCTATAAGTGCCTATCTCTCTTGGGCGCCTATCTCTATGGGGCCTATCTCTATGGGCGCCTATCTCTAGGGGCACCTATCTAGTGGCGCCATCTCTATGGGCGCCTATCTCTAAGGGGCGCCTATCTCTATGGGCGCCTATCCTATGGGCGCCTATCTCTATGGGCGCCTATCTCTATGGTGCCTATCTCTTTGGGCGCCTATCTCTATGGGCGCCTATCTCTAGGGGTGCCTATCTCTAGGGGCGCCTATCTCTATGGGCGCCTATCTCTATGGTGCCTATCTCTAGGGGCGCCTATCTCTAGGCGCCTATCTTTAGCGCGCCTAACTCATAGGCGCCTATCTCTAGGGGCGCCTATCTCTAGTGGCGCCTATCTCTATGGCGCCTATCTCTAGGGGCGCCTATCTCTATGTGCGCCCTATCTCTATGGGCGCCTATCTCTATGGGCGCCTATCCCTATGGGTGCCTATCTCTTTGGGAGCCTATCTCTATGGGCGCCTATCTCTATGGGCGCCTATCCCTATGGGTGCCTATCTCTTTGGGCGCCTATCTCTATGGGCGCCTATCTCTAGGGGTGCCTATCTCTATGGGCGCCTATCTCTATGGGCGCCTATCTCTATGGGCGCCTATCTCTATGGGGTGCCTATCTCTTGGGCGCTCCATCTCTATGGGCGCCTATCTCTAGGGGCGCCTATCTCTAGGGGCGCCTATCTCTATGGGCGCCTATCTCTATGGGCGCCTATCTCTAGGGGCGCCTATCTCTATGGGCGCCTATCTTTAGCGGCGCCTATCTCTAGGGGCGCCTATCTCTAGTGGCGCTATCTCTATAGGCACCTATCTCTAGGGCGCCTATCTCTATGGGCGGCCTATCTCTATGGGCGCCTATCTCTATGGGCGCCTATCTCTATGGGTGCCTATCTCTTTGGGCACCTATCTCTATGGGCGCCTATCTCTAGGGGCGCCATCTCTAGGGGCGCTATCTCTAGGCGCCTATCTCTTGGGCGCTATCTCTAGGGCCCCTATCTCTATGGGCGCCTATCTTTAGCGGCGCCTATCTCTATTATAGGCGCCTATCTCTAGGGGCGCTTATCTCTTTGTGCGCTTTGTCTCTATGGGCGCCTATCTCTATTGGCGCCTATCTATATGGGCGCCTATCTCTATGGGCGCCTATCTCTATGGGTGCCTATCTCTTTGGGCGCCTATCTCTATGGGCGCCTATCTCTAGGGTGCCTATCTCTAGGGGCGCCTATCTCTATGGGCGCCTATCTCTATGGGCGCCTATCTCTACGGGCGCCTATCTCTATGGGCGCCTATCTCTAGGGGCACCTATCTCTACTGGCGCCTATCTCTATGGGCGCCTATCTCTAGGGGCGCCTATCTCTATGGGCGCCTATCTCTATGGGCGCCTATCTGTATGGTGCCTATCTCTTTGGGCGCCTATCTCTATGGGCGCCTATCTCTAGTGGGTGCCTATCTCTAGGGGCGCCTATCTCTATGGGCGCCTATCTCTATGGGCGCCTATCTCTAGGGGCGCCTATCTCTATGGCGCCTATCTTAGCGGGCCTATCTCTTTAGGCGCCTATCTCTAGGGGCCTATCTCTAGTGGCGCCTATCTATATGGGCGCCTATGTCTAGGGGCGCCTATCTCTATGTGCGCCTATCTCTATGGGCGCCTATCTCTATGGGCGCCTATCCCTATGGGGCCTATCTCTTTGGGCGCCTATCTCTATGGGCGCCTATCTCTATGGGCGCCTATCCCTATGGGTGCCTATCTCTTTGGGCCTATCTCTATGGGCGCCTATCTCTAGGGGCGCCTATCTCTATGGGCGCCTATCTCTATGGGCTCCTATCTCTATGGGCGCCTATCTCTATGGGTGCCTATCTCTTTGGGCGCCTATCTCTATGGGCGCCTATCTTAGGGGCGCCTATCTCTAGGGGCGCTATCTCTATGGGCGCCTATCTCTATGGGCGCCTATCTCTAGGGGCGCCTATCTCTTTGGGCGCCTATCTTTAGCGGGCGCCTATCTCTACAGGCGCTATCTCTAGGGGCGCTTATCTCTATGTGCGCCTATCTCTATGGGCGCCTCTCTTTAGGGCGCCAATCTCTAGGGGCGCCTATCTCTTTGGGCGCCAGTCTCTATGGGCGCCTATCTCTATAGGCGCCTATCTCTAGGGGCGCCTATCTCTATGGGCGCCTATCTCTATGGGCGCCTATCTTCTAGGGGCGTCTATCTCTATGGGCGTCTATCTCTAGGGGCGCCTATCTCTAGGGGCACATATCTCTATAGGCGCCTATCTCTATGGGCGCCTCTCTTTAGGGGCGCCAATCTCTAGAGGCGCCTATCTCTATGGGCGCCCATCTCTAGGGGCGCCTACCTCTAGGGGCAACCTACTCTAGTGGCGCCTATCTCCAGGGGCGCCTATCTCTAGGGGTGCCTATCTCTAGGGTTGCCTATCTCTAGGGGCGGCTATCTCTAGGGGCGCCTATCTCTATGGGCGCCTATCTCTAGGGGCGCCTATCTCTATGGGCGCCTATCTCTTTGGGCGCCTATCTCTATGGGCGCTATCTCTAGGGGCGCCTATCTCTAGGGGCGCCGATCTCTATGGGCGCCTATCTCTTTGGGCGCCTATCTCTAATGGGCGCCTATATCTCTACGGGCGCCTATCTCTATGGGCGCCTATCTCTAGGGGCGCCTATCTCTAGTGGGCCTTTCTCTATGGCGCCTATCTCTAGGGGCGCCTATCTCTATTGCGCCTATCTATATGGGCGCCTATCTCTATGGGCGCCTATCTCTATGGGTGCCTATCTCTTTGGGCGCCTATCTCTATGGGCGCCTATCTCTAGGGGTGCCTATCTCTAGGGGCGCCTATCTCTATGGGCGCTATCTCTATGGGCGCTATCTCTACGGGCGCCTATCTCTATGGGCGCCTATCTCTAGGGGCACCTATCTCTAGTGGCGCCTATCTCTATGGGCGCCTTCTCTAGGGGCGCCTATCTCTATGGGCGCCTATCTCTATGGGCGCCTATCTCTATGGGTGCCTATCTCTTGGGCGCCTATCTCATGGGCGCCTATCTCTAGGGGTGCCTATCTCTAGGGTCGCCTATCTCTATGGGCGCCTATCTCTATGGGCGCCTATCTCTAGGGGCGCCTATCTCTATGGCGCCTATCTTTAGCGGCGCCTATTCTATAGGCGCCTATCTCTAGGGGCGCCTATCTCTAGTGGCGCCTATCTCTATGGGCGCCTATGTCTAGGGGCGTATCTCTATGTGCGCCTATCTCTATGGGCGCCTATCTCTATGGGCGCCTATCCCTATGGGTGCCTATCTCTTTGGCGCCTATCTCTATGGGCGCCTATCTCTATGGGCGCCTATCCCTATGAGTGCCTATCTCTTTGGGCGCCTATCTCTATGGGCGCCTATCTCTAGGGGCGCCTATCTCTATGGGCGCCTATCTCTATGGGCGCCTATCTCTATGGGCGCCTATCTCTATGGGTGCCTATCTCTTTGGGCGCCTATCTCTATGGGCGCCTATCTCTAGGGGCACCTATCTCTAGGGGCGCCTATCTCTATGGGCGCCTATCTCTATGGGCGCCTATCTCTAGGGGCGCCTCATCTCTATGGGCGCCTATCTTTAGCGGCGCCTATCTCTAGGGGCGCCTATCTCTAGTGGCGCCTTTCTCTATGGGCACCTATCTCTAGGGGCGCCTATCTCTATGGGCGCCTATCTCTATGGGCGCCTATCTCTATGGGCGCCTATCTCTATGGGTGCCTATCTCTTTGGGCGACTATCTCTATGGGTGCCTATCTCTAGGGGCGCCTATCTCTAGGGGCGCCTATCTCTATGGGCGCCTATCTCTATGGGCACCTATCTCTAGGGGGCGCCTATCTCTATGGGCGCCTATTTTTAGCGGCGCCTATCTCTACTAGGCGCCTATCTCTAGGGGCGCTTATCTCTATGTGCGCCTATCTCTATGGGCGCCTCTCTTTAGGGGCGCCAATCTCTAGAGGCGCCTATCTCTTTGGGCGCCAATCTCTATGGGCGCCTATCTCTAGGGGCGTCTATCTCTATGGGCGTCTATCTCTAGGGGCGCCTATCTCTAGGGGCACATATCTCTATAGGCGCCTATCTCTATGGGCGCCTCTCTTTAGGGGCGCCAATCTCTAGAGGCGCCTATCTCTATGGGCGCCCATCTCTAGGGGCGCCTACCTCTAGGGGCACCTATCTCTAGTGGCGCCTATCTCCAGGGGCGCCTATCTCTAGGGGCGCCTATCTCTAGGGTTGCCTATCTCTAGGGGCGGCTATCTCTAGGGGCGCCTATCTCTATGGGCACCTATCTCTAGGGGCGCCTATCTCTATGGGCGCCTATCTCTTTGGGCGCCTATCTCTATGGGCGCCTATCTCTAGGGGCGCCTATCTCTAGGGGCGCCTATCTCTATGGGCGCCTATCTCTATGGGCGCCTATCTCTAGGGCGCCTATCTCTACGGGCGCCTATCTCTATGGACGCCTATCTCTAGGGGCGCCTATCTCTAGTGGCGCCTTTCTCTATGGGCGCCTATCTCTAGGGGCGCCTATCTCTATTGGCGCCTATCTCTATGGGCGCCTATCTCTATGGGCGCCTATCTCTATGGGTGCCTATCTCTTTGGGCGCCTATCTCTATGGGCGCCTATCTCTAGGGTTGCCTATCTCTAGGGGCGCCTATCTCTATGGGCGCCTATCTCTATGGGCGCCTATCTCTAGGGGCGCCTATCTCTGGGGGCGCCTATCTCTAGGGGCGCCTATCTCTATGGGCGCCAATCTCTATGGGCGCCTATCTCTAGGGGCGCCTATCTCTAGGGGCGCCCTGTCTCTATGGGCGCCTATCTCTATGGGCGCCTATCTCTAGGGGCGCCTGTCTCTATGGGCGCCTATCTCTATGAGCACCTATCTCTTTGGGCGCCTATCTCTATGGGCGCCTATCTCTAGGGGCGCCTATCTCTAGGGGCGCCTGTCTCTATGGGCGCCTATCTCTATGGGCGCCTATCTCTAGGGGCTCCTATTTCTATGGGCGCCTATCTTAAGGGCGCCTATCTCTAGGGGCACCTATGTATATGGGCACCTATCTCCATGGGCGCGTCTCTTTAGGGGTACCAATCTCTAGAGGCACCTATCTCTAGGGGCGGGTGATGGAAAGCGGGAGAATGGGCAGGGTGATGGAAGCGGGGAGAATGGAGCGGGGTGGTGGAAAGCGGGAGAATGGGGCGGGGTGATGAAAGAGGGAGAATGAGGAGGGTGATGGAAAGAGGGAGAATTGGGCGGGGTGATGGAAAGCGGGAGAATGGAGCGGGGTGATGAAGAGGGAGAATGGGGCGGGGTGGATGGAAAAGGGGGAGAATGGGCGGGGTGATGGAAAGAGGGAGAATGGGGCGGGGTGATGGAAAGCGGGAGAATGGGGCGGGGTGATGGAAAGAGGGAGAATGGGGCGGGGTGATGGAAAGAGGGAGAATGGGGCGGGGTGATGGAAAGCGGGAGAATGGGGCGGGGTGATGGAAAGAGGGAGAATGGGGAGGGGTGATGGAAAGAGGGAGAATTGGGCGGGGTGATGGAAAGCGGGAGAATGGAGCGGGGTGATGGAACGAGGGAAAATGGGGCGGGGTGATGGAATGCGGGAGAATGGGGCGGGGTGATGGAAAGAGGGAGAATGGGGCGGGGTGATGGAAGGGGGGGAGAATGGGGCGGGGTGATGGAAAGCGGGAGAATGGGGCTGGGTGATGGAAAGCGGGAGAATGGGGCGGGGTGATGGAAAGCGGGAGAATGGGGCGGGGTGATGGAAAGCAGGAGAATGGGGCGGGGTGGATGGAAAGCGGGAGAATGGGGCGGGGTGATGGAAATCGGGAAAATGGGGCGGGGTGATGGAAAGCGGGAGGATGGGGCGGGGTGATGGAAAGAGGGAGAATGGGGCGGGGTGATGGAAGGCGGGAGAATGGGGCGGGGTGATGGAAAGCGGGAGAATGGGGCGGGGTGATGGAAAGAGGAAGAATGGGGAGGGGTGATGGAAAGAGGGAGAATTGGGCGGGGTGATGGAAAGCGGGAGAATGGAGCGGGGTGATGGAACGAGGGAAAATGGGGCGGGGTGATGGAATGCGGGAGAATGGGGCGGGGTGATGGAAAGAGGGAGAATGGGGCAGGGTGATGGAAAGCGGGAGAATGGGGCGGGGTGATGGAAAGAGGAAGAATGGGGAGGGGTGATGGAAAGCGGGAGAATTGGGCGGGGCGATGGAAAGCGGGAGAATGGAGCGGGGTGATGGAACGAGGAAAATGGGGCGGGGTGATGGAATGCGGGAGAATGGGGCGGGGTGATGAAAGAGGGAGAATGGGGCGGGGTGATGGAAGCGGGAGAATGGGGCTGGGTGATGGAAAGCGGGAGAATGGGGCTGGGTTGATGGAAAGCGGGAGAATGGGGCGGGGTGATGGAAAGCGGGAGAATGGGGCGGGGTGATGGAAAGCGGGAGAATGGGGCGGGGTGATGGAAAGCGGGAGAATGGGCGGGGTGATGGAAATCGGGAAAATGGGGCGGGGTGATGGAAAGCGGGAGAATGGGGCGGGGTGATGGAAAGAGGGAGAATGGGGCGGGGTGATGGAAGGCGGGAGAATGGGGGGGGGGAGGGGGGGCGGGGTGATGGAAAGGGGGAGAATTGGGCAGGGTGATTGGAAAGATGGAGAATGGGGCGGGGTGATGGAAGGCGGGAGAATGGGGCGGGGTGATGGAAAGAGGGAGAATGGGGCGGGGTGATAGAAAGCAGGAGAATGGGGCGGGGGTGATGGAAAGAGGGAGAATGGGGAGGGGTGATGGAAAGAGTGAGAATGGGGGTGGGTGATGGAAAGCGGGAGAATGGGCAGGGTGATGGAAAGCGGGAGAATGGAGCGGGGTGGTGGAAAGCGGGAGAATGGGGCGGGGTGATGGAAAGAGGGAGAATGAGGAGGGGTGATGGAAAGAGGGAGAATTGGGCGGGGTGATGGAAAGCGGGAGAATGGAGCGGGGTGATGGAAAGAGGGAGAATGGGGCGGGGTGATGGAAAGCGGGAGAATGGGGCGGGGTGATCTAAAGAGGGAGAATGGGGCGGGGGTGATGGAAAGCGGGAGAATGGGGCGGGGTGATGGAAAGAGGGAGAATGGGGCGGGGTGATGGAAAGAGGGAGAATGGGCGGGGTGATGGAAAGCGGGAGAATGGGGCGGGGTGATGGAAAGAGGGAGAATGGGGAGGGGTGATGGAAAGAGGGAGAATTGGGCGGGGTGATAGAAAGCGGGAGAATGGAGCGGGGTGATGGAACGAGGGAAAATGGGGCGGGGTGATGGAATGCGGGAGAATGGGGCGGGGTGATGGAAAGAGGGAGAATGGGGCGGGGTGATGGAAAGCGGGAGAATGGGGCGGGGTGATGGAAAGCGGGAGAATGGGGCTGGGTGATGGAAAGCGGGAGAATGGGGCGGGGTGATGGAAAGCAGGAGAATGGGGCGGGGTGATGGAAAGCGGGAGAATGGGGCAAGGTGATGGAAAGCGGGAGAATGGGGCGGGGTGATGGAAATCGGGAAAATGGGGCGGGGTGATGGAAAGCGGGAGAATGGGGCGGGGTGATGGAAAGAGGGAGAATGGGGCGGGGTGATGGAAAGCGGGAGAATGGGGCGGGGTGATGGAAAGAGGGAGAATGGGGCGGGGTGATGGAAGGCGGGAGAATGGGGCGGGGTGATGGAAAGGGGGAGAATTGGGCAGGGTGATGGAAAGATGGAGAATGGGGCGGGGTGATGGAAAGGGGGAGAATTGGGCAGGGTGATGGAAAGATGGAGAATGGGGCGGGGTGATGGAAGGCGGGAGAATGGGGCGGGGTGATGGAAAGAGGGAGAATGGGGCGGGGTGATAGAAAGCAGGAGAATGGGGCGGGGTGATGGAAAGAGGGAAAATGGGGAGGGGTGATGGAAAGAGTGAGAATGGGGTGGGGTGATGGAAAGCGGGAGAATGGGGCAGGGTGTTGGAAAGCTGGAGATTGGGGCGGGGTGATGGAAATCGGGAGAATGGGGCGGGGGTGATGGAAAGCGGAGAATGGGGCGGGGTGATGGAAATCGGGAGAATGGGGCGGGGTGATGGAAAGCGGGAGAATGGGGCAGGGTGATGGAAAGAGGGAGAATGGGGTGGGGTGATGGAAAGCGTGAGAATGGGGCGGGGGTGACGGAAATCGGGAGAATGGGGCGGGGGTGATGGAAAGAGGGAGAATGGGGCGGGGTGATGGAAAGAGGGAGAATGGGGCGGGGTGATGGAAAGAGGGAGAATGGGGCGGGGAGATGGAAAGAGGAAGAATGGGGCGGGGGTGATGGAAAGCTGGCGAATGGGGCGGGGTGATGGAAAGAGGGAGAATGGGACGGGGTGATGGAAAGCGGGAGAATGGGGCGGGGTGATGGAAAGCGGGAGAATGGGGCGGGGTGATGGAAGCTGGTGAGAATGGGGCGGGGGTGATGGAAAGAGGAAGAATGGGGCGGGGTGATGGAAAGCGGGAGAATGGGGCGGGGTGATGGAAAGCGGGAGAATGGGGCGGGGTGATGGAAAGCGGGAGAACGGGGCGGGGTGAAGGAAAGAGGGAGAATGGGGCGGGGTGATCGGAAAGCGGGAGAATGGGGCGGGGTGATGGAAAGCGGGAGAACGGGGCGGGGTGATGGAAAGAGGGAGAATGGGGCGGGGTGATGGAAAGCGGGAGAATGGGGCGGGGTGATGGAAAGCGGGAGAATGGGGCGGGGTGATTGAAAGAGGGAGATTGGGGCGGGGTGATGAAAGCGGGAGAATGGGCGGGTGGTGATGGAAAGAGGGACAATGGGGCGGGGTGATGGAAAGCGGGGAGTATGGGGCGGGGTTATGGAAAGAGGGAGAATGGGGCGGGGTGATGGAAAGCGGAAGAATGGGGCGGGGTGATCGAAAGAGGGAGAATGGGGCAGGGTGATGAAAGAGTGAGAATGGGGCGGGGGTGATGGAAAGCGGGAGAATGGGGCGGGGTGTCGGAAAGCGGGAGAATGGGGGTGGGGTGATGGAAAGCGAGAGAATGGGGCGAGGTGATGGAAAGCGGTGAGAATGGGGCGGGGTGATGGAAATCGGGAGAATGGGGCGGGGTGATGGAAAGCGGGAGAATAAGGCGGGGTGATGGAAAGCGAGAGAATGGGGTGGGGTGATGGAAAGTGGGAGAATGGGGCGGGGTGATGGATAGAGGGAGAATGGGGCGTGGTGATGGAAAGCGGGAGAATGGGGCGGGGTGATGGAAAGAGGGAGAATATGGCGGGGGTGATGGAAAGCGTGAGAATGGGGCGGGGTGATGGAAAAGGGAGAATGGGGCGGGGTGATGGAAGGCGGGAGATTGGGGCGGGGTTGATGGAAAGAGGGAGAATGGGGCGGGGTGATGGAAAGCGGGAGAATGGGTCGGGTGTGATGGAAAGAGGGAGAATGGGGCGGGGTGATGGAAAGAGGGAGAATGGGGCGGGGTGACGGAAATCGGGGGAGAATGGGGCGGGGTTGATGGAAAGAGGGAGAATGGGGCGGGGTGATGGAAAGAGGGAGAATGGGGCGGGGTGACGGAAAGAGGGAGAATGGGGCGGGGAGATGGAAAGAGGAAGAATGGGGCGGGGTGATGGAAAGCGGGAGAATGGGGCGGGGTGATGGAAAGCGGGAGAATGTGTTGGGGGTGATGGAAAGAGGAGAATGGGGCGGGTGATGGAAAAGAGGGAGAATGGGGCAGGATGACGGAAATCGGGAGAATGGGTGGGGTGATGGAAAGAGGGAGAATGGGGCGGGGTGACGGAAGGAGGAGAATGGGGCGGGGTGATGGAAAGAGGGAGAATGGGGCGGGGTGATGGAAAGAGAGAGAATGGGGCGGGGTGATGGAAAGAGGGAGAATGGGGCGGGGAGATGGAAAGAGGAAGAATGGGGCGGGTGTGATGGAAAGAGGAAGAATGGGGCGGGGTGACGGAAATCGGGAGAATGGGCGGGGTGATGGAAAGAGGGAGAATGGGGCGGGGTGATGGAAAGAGGGAGAATGGGGCGGGGTGATGGAAAGAGGGAAGGA